AGCAGGGCTGGGGGGCAGGGGCTGCCAGTAAGTCAGGAGTGAGGGGCACCAGCAGAGCTGTGGGGAGCCGGGGCTGAAGGTAGGGAGTGAAGGGCACTGGTTGGGCTGGGAGGGAACAGACTTGAGGGGCACCCACAGGGCTGGTGGCAGAAGGCTGGGGGCTGTGTGTTGGGAGTGAGGGGCAGCAACCAGGTTGGGGGCTGTGGGTTGGGAGTGAGGGACACTGGCAGGGCTGGGGGGAGGGCACACCCAAGTGCCCCAGCCCCCTTCCTTGGGAATGCCCTTTGGGGGAGCAATTCCCCCTCCCCCCACCAGGCAGCGCTCCTTGGGGACCCCATGGCCCCCCCTTAGATCCCAGTGGGGAAGATTCTCAGGACATCTGGGTTCAGTATTGGGGGGGCAGGCCTGCCAGAAGCTGGGTACAGCAAGGCAGGGGAATTGCCCCCAGCTAGGACAATTAGCTGCAGCTGGGGCTAATCCAGGCAGTGCTCCCAGCTCCACCCCCGTCCCCCACAGGGCCAGGCACAGCAGTTACCCCAGGCGATGTTCCCCTGAGGTACGTGTCCTCTGTCCCCTACCCCAGATTTGAGGGAGGTTCATTACTCACTCTGGGACAACTGTGTGGTGAATCTCCCTCCTAACAGGGGCAGCCTTGGGGATATCTGACCCCCTAGGTTGGGCTATGGGCCCTGCCTCCCCCCCCCGGCTATACAAACCAAGGGGAACTGAGGCAGTGGCTTTGTCGTGTGGAACTTGTGTGTCCTGTGGCCTCTGCCGGTGCCAGAGGCTGCCCCACTGAACCCAGATGGCTGTCCCCTGGAACCCAGACCCATCCCCCTGCCAACCAGGCCAGGATTGGGCCCCAAGGTGCCAGGCACTGTACGTCTGCGGGAGGGTAAACCAAGGCATAGGGGGACGGGGGAGGGAGGGCATGGATTGCAAAGAACAGGGGAGAACCCAGGCATCCAGGTTCCCAGCACTCCCCTGCTCTACCCCCCAGTCCCCTCCTCCCCTGCAAGTGAAGAGGGAACCCAGGCGTCCGGGCTCCCACCACAGTCACACTGGGATGGGTGATGGATGGGGCCATCAGGCCCGGGCAGGGGGTTCCAGACCCCCGCAGTGGGAGGGGCAGGGGAGGCAGGTGTATGCACATGTGCATATAATTTGCATATGCATGAGTATGCCCCACTACAGCCCATTTCCCTCAGTGCCCCTGAAGCTGTCCCCACACCTCCCAGTCCCCCTAGGGGCCCTGAGTCCCCCCAGTCCATTAACTCCTCACAGGCTACCCCCAGGCAGGGTCCCCATCCTCTGGGTGCAGTAGGGGGGGACAGGGGGGTAATGGGATCTGCGCGGGAGGGAATTCATTTCCCGGCGCTAATGCGCTGTCAGCGCGGGGCCAGGCACCGTGGATGATGGAGAGTCGCCCCCGGCGCCGCGGGCGGCTTAATGGGGCGGAGAATGAGCTGCTCCCCTCCTCAGCTGCGGCACTGGCCCCCACCCTACCCCGCAGCCCCTGGGGAGGCAGCTGGGGGTGCTGGTCCCCCTAGCTCAGGCCCCACTTGGTGGGGGTGCCCCACAGCACTGAGCTAGGCCCAGGGGTCTGTGCAGAGCCTAGAGCCCCTGATATCAGCCTTGGAGGGGGTTCTGCCCTGAGCCCAGACCCCCGTTTGCAGCTGGGGGGGTGTGCAGGGCCTGGAGCCCCTGATTGAGCCTGGGGGGGCTGTCTGTGAAGAGCCTGGAGCCTCAAATTGTGGCTGAGGGGTCTGTGCAAGGCCTGGAGCCCCCTGATATCAATCAGGGTGGGGGGTCTGTGCAGGGTTTAAAGCCCCCAGTTGCAGCCAGAAGGTTTTATGCAGAGCCTGGTTCCCCCAGATATCAGCCTGGGGTGGTGGGGGCTGGGTCTGTACAAGGCCCAGAGCCCCCAATTGCAACCAGAGGGGTTCAAACAGAGGCTGGAGCCCCCTGATATCAGTTTAGGGGTCTGGGCAGAGCCCAGAGCTCCAGATTGCAACCTGGGGGTCTGTACAGGGCCTGGAGCCCCCGATTGCAGCCTGAGGGAGGTTCTGTATAGTGCCTGGAGCCCCCTGATATCAGCCAGGGGTTCTGGACAGAGTCTGGAGCCCCCATTTATAGCCTGGGGGCTCTGTGCTCAGCCTGGAGCCCCCTGGTATCAGCCTGGGGGTCTATACAGGGCCCAGCACAGCCTGACTGTAGCCTGGGGGTTTGTACAGCACCTAGTACAGCCCAATGGTGACCAGGTGGCCTGTGCAGCACCCAGTGCCCCCCAGTATCAGCTTAGCTGGCTTGTATTAGGGGGGACATGGGGATTGCTGGCGGGTATATATATGTGCTGAGCTGGGCCATATGCAGGGCTTTCTATACGGAGCTTCTCTATAGGAGAACTTACTCATCCATGTTTTTTCCAAATCAGAGCTGCTCTATCAAGGGCCCCCTGGCTATAGGAGTCTCCATGGATGGCTTCCTCTGGGGAATTGTTGATTTATAGGGGACCCCCTGGTTATGAGGGTCTCCATAGGCAGCCATCGCTGGTGGGGGTTGATCTATAGGGGATCCCTTGGCTATCACAGTCTCCATAGGGATTTACCTATAGGGGATCCCATGGCTATTGGTATCTCTATAGGCTACCGTCTTGGGGGATTGATCTATAGCAGATCCCTCAGCTATAGAGGTTTCCATAGATGTCCCTCTCTACAGGGGTTGGTCTATAGAAAATACCCAGATATAGGGGGCCCTATAGGTAACCGTCTCTATAGGGGATGGGGGGGGGGCGTTCCATGCCTTGAGTCCCTTGTGTGTTGTGTGCCCAGATCCCCTTACATGTTGCCTGTCACGTGTTGCATGTTGTGGGGGCATTGTGTTCTGTGGCCCCATCCCCTGAATAAGTCACCTATTGCCCCCCCCACCCCCTTCCCCGGCCAATCCCTACCCAGGGAGGGGGTCAGCGGGTCAGGATGCCTGGGTTCTCTCCCAGCTCTGGGAGGGCAGTGGGACATAGTGGTTACAGGTGGGGCTGGGGCTGGGGCTGGGAGCCTGGACACCTGGGTCCTCTTGGCAGAAGGCAGCAG